GATGGGTTTACATTGCCTTTGCAGTAATCCATGTTTACTGTTGGCTTCTTGTGCACTCTAGGTGCTCTACTCTTGAATACAGGACTCATCTATAAATAGAAAATGGGAGCTGCATCTAACTATTGATTTCACACTGACTCAACAATCCTCCCACATGTACTGTACACTGTCTCTTATAAAGTGCAGGAGTCTGATTTGGAAATTTTACTTCTCAATAGTACTTATATATTAAGGATCAATGGATTGGGACATATGTCTAAGAATAAGGCTCATTTAATTCTGTGGGACTTATGATGATGTGGATAGAATTATGCCATTAGTTGTGCAAGTAAGCAATATGTGAGATTTTAGCTTGTTATCACAGTATGAAGGTTGTCTGAACATGTTATTATTGTAAAAAATTTTTTACACTACAGGTAGTCCTCAATTTAAAAGAGTTCATTTAGTGACCATTCAAAGTTACAATGGCACTGAAAAAGTGACATGACCATTTTTCACAGTTTGCAGTTTTCCCATTATCTTATGATCAAAATTCAAATGCTTGGCAACTGATTCATATTTATGACCATTGCTGTATCCTGGGACCATGTGATCACCTTTTGCGACTTTCTGACAAGCAAATTCAATGGGGAAGCTTAACAACCAGGTTACTAACTTATTCACTTAATAAACAAGTTACTAACTTATTAACTGTGGTGATTCACTTAACTGTGGCCAGAAATGTCATAAAATGGGGGCAAAACTCACTTAACAAATTATCACTTAACAACATAAATTTTAGGCTCAGTTGTGGTCATAAATTGAGGACTACCTGTATTAAATGTGTAAGCATGTTGAAGCTTAATGTCTATTCATCCATTTTCCATCAGTCTTTCAGCAGCAATCCTTTATCTTTGCACATTGTCAACATTGAGCCAAGTTGCTGTTTTTATACTTTGAGGCTCTCTCAGATTTTAACTCATCTTTCAACATATTCTTAAGATCTAGGGTGGAGCAGCTTATGGAATTCTTTCCCTCTTATCAGCAATGACTATAGGAAGTATCTATGTTTTGTTCGGTGCACCGAAGTAATATTTATTAGTCGCATTTCTATGCCGCCCAACTCCCTAGGGACTCTGCTGACTCTGTGTGTGTTTTCGCTTTCCACTTGTGTTATATCTACAGGTGTTTATGAGCAGACTGTATATGCTCTGCAGCATGTAACCAGGAGGTGAATGGTGGTGATGGTAGAATGGAAGAATCCAACTCTCTCCCACAGTTATTATGTTGAGAGTTTTCTCTATGGCTCATTTTTAATTTGATCTTTCTTTGGTTGGTTCTTCATATATTCCAAAGTTGGCTCATTTCTCCTTGTTTTCAGAGATTATCCTGCTGGCTGATTGAGAGATGGAATCCCAGAGTTCCTGAGGCACTTTATATAGTTTCTTTCCAATGTTCCTTTTGATTAAGTCAGTGTTTCTCAACCTCAGCAACTTTAAGATGCATGGACTTCAGTTCCCAGAGTTCCTCAGCCAATGCTGTGCTCGAGGGAGAATTCTGGAAGTTAAAGACCTTACATGTTAAAGTTAATGGGTTGACAAAGACTGGGTTTCAAAAATATTAAAAAAATGCTTTCATCCTGAAATATCCTTGGTTTTTTAAAGCGACAATCATGGAATCCATATGATTCAACTATATGAATAGCAGCAATATTCATAATGGCTATTTTATACAATAGATTTTATTGCATTTTATATTCTTATGGTACAATGCTAACAGATTTATGTAATATAACAGGACCAATTACCGAGGAATTATATAGGCATAATATCTAAAAAAGTGAGCTATTGAGTTATACATCTTTCACTCAGGACATTGGGAGATGCTATGAATGTTAGCATCTGAACCTTTTGGATAAAAAATATGGGAAATGTTTTGGAAAAAATTTGACTCTGCTGACATATCATAACCTCCACCCCCAAATAAAATAGAAACAATTCTCTATTTAATCTCCATTTAGGCCACCCTGAACAGCAGCACACAGTGGCAGCACAGAGGCTGAGGCTGAGGCTGAGCCTGAAGTAGGGGCTCAGGCCACAATTTCAGCTCTAGAGCCACAGCTGTCATTCAAAAAGACCACCAAGTGCCACTCCTCAAGGCATACAAATCTTGGGTAATGGTACTATTGCCCCCCCACCTCACCCCATGGCACAGTGCTCCCCAGGATTTGCATGCCACTTATCTTCAGGTAATGTTTTCTTTCCTTTTTTTTTTTTTTTACACAAACATACATACAACATACAATGTATTTTTTCTGAACAGAGTATTTGGCCAGTTCACAAATTTAAACAGTTTTTAGTCATTTCAACTAAATTTACAATTTCTATATTTCCTTTTTGCCATGATATTTTTTATCTTCTATTTTTTTAAAACCAATATTACCTTTCATCCTCACCTCTGATCTTAACCAAATTCAATTTTTCCCTTCTGTTTTATGTTGTACCCCTCAAAGTTAAGATCTCACCTAATATGATTCCTAGTATTTCCTTATATTCCTTTATTATAATTACTAATATTTCTTGTTGTCATCTATTTCTATATCCATCATCTTAGTACAAATTAATTAATTATGTGGTGTTACAATCATTCATTTCTTATAAGAATAATAAACCCAATTGTTTTATAACATACATTTCCTTAAGTAATACAATCCAACATTTTGGTATAAATCAGTTAGTTATATAGCTATCTTTTTCCTTTATATAATAATCATAAACCAAATAACTTTCCCCATATATTTCTTTATATAAGTTCCAAAAATGGAAAAGAGCTGATGTAATTCTCATCTTCAAAGAGCGGCAGGCGTGCAAATGGACCTGCGTCTGTGGCCTTGCCTCTCAGAATCATCTCTTCTACTCCCCTCACTGGTCTGCCAGCCCAGAAAGTTTGGGGGCCACTAGAATAGGTGGTACCTGGCACAATATTTATTTATTTATTTATTTATTTATTTATTTATTTATTCATTCATTCATTCATTCATTCATTCATTCATTCATTTATTTATTTATTTATTTATTTATGTAATTTATATGCCGCACTTCTCCCGAAGGACTCAGGGCGGCTTACAAGAAGGAACAAAAAAATTACATAAACATTAAAGTCAATTTAAAATTAGTTAAAATTAATTAAAAATTTAATTAAAATTATTAAAAATCATCCCTACGGATTCAGCCCATTTGGTGAAAAAGCCATGTCTTCAATTTGCGGCGGAAGGAGAGGAGGTCAGGGGTTATCCTGAGGCCGGTGGGCAGCAGCCCATTCCAGAGGGTCGGCGCTCCCACAGAGAACGCTCTCCCCCTGGGGACCACCAGCCGACATTGTCTGGCTGACGGCACCCTGAGGAGGCCCGCTCTGTGTGAGCACACCGGACGATGGGAGGATGGCAGGAGATGATCCTGCAGGTACCCCGGGTCTAAGCCATGTATACTAAGCAATAGTATAACTGCAATCTTGGTGTTCTAATGGACAATCACTTAAATATGAACCAGCAGTGTTCTGCAGCTACCAGAAAAAAACCAATGCAGTTCTAGTTTGCATTAACAGAGGGATAGAATTAAAATTGCATGAAGTGTTAAAACCATTTTATAATGGTAAGACCACACTTGGAATATTGCATCTAGTTTTGGTCACCAGAATATAAAAAAGATGTTAAGACTCTAGAAAGAGTGCAGAGAAAAACAATAAAGATGATTAGGGGACTGGCAGCTAAAACATACAAAGAATGGTTGCAGGAATTGGGTATGACTAATTTAATGAAAGGGAAAACTGGGAGTGATAGCAGTGTTCCAGTATCTAAGTGGCTGCCACAAAGAAGTGGGGTTCAACCTATTCTCCAAAGCACCTGAAAGCAAGACAAAAAGCAATGGATGGAAACTCATCAAAAAAAGAATCAACCTAGAACTAAGGAGAAAATTCTTGGCATTTAGAACAATCAATCAGTAGAATGGCTTACTTCCAGAAATTGTGAAGTGTTCCAACACTAGAGTTTTTAAGAAATTGGGCAACCTTTTGTTTGAAATGGTATTGAGTTTCCTGCTTGAGAAGCGGGTTGAATTAAAAGATCTCCATGGTTGCTTCCAACTCTGTTATTCTATTTTAAAAAATCAAAGTAGTACAGAAGTCCCAAAGGTGCTTTTTTCAGGAGGCAACTGGATTTTGTTTTTTCTTTGAGGACATTTTGCTTCTCATCCAAGAAGCTTCTACAGCTCTGACAGGATAGTGGGGAGTGGAAGGATTTCTGAAGTATTGCTATTTATCCAAAGTAATATGTGTGAAAACACTCTGGGATGTTATATGTTCATGCTTTACAAGTCTGGATATTAGTTATAAACTTTGTAAACTATCAAATTGGAAGATAGTAATCTTTTTGTATGAGCTCGCAAAAATAAATTTGTTTGATATTATAGAAATTTTGAGCAATCAAAGCTGTGCATAAAATCAACCTCTCTCTCAGCAAAGGGTGAGAAACCTGTTGCAGACATCATTTGCAAGCTGAAACTTGCAAATTGGGGACAAAAGTCTTCGATATCACATTACAAATGCTGGGGTGTTATTTTGATTTGCCTATAGGCTTAACAAACTGTAATATACTAAGTTTAATTCATTTATTTGTAAGAATGAAAAGTTGAGACAACTGACGATTCGTTTTTCAAAAATATTTTTAAAGCTAAGCCAGACAATTATATTACTATACTGTATCAGGAAGCCGGCAGAAGGGGGCGGGGGATGAAACTCTGGCAACCCGAAGATGCGAAGACATAATCAGCGGGAGCAGGTAGCAGAGCATTCTGACGACTATCTATCCTCCCGACTAGCGGCGGCCAATGCCTGGTTCGACCTGCGGGCACTTGCTCAGTCTGTTCGCACCGTCCAGCAGGGGCCGCCCTGGAACAGACGGCGGACGGCAACGCCGGCAGCGGCGAAGGGCGGTAAGTGGCAGTGGGCGGTGGACGGAGACTTAGCGAGGGAGGCGTTTCATTGCCGCAGTCCTGGACGAAAGAAAAAACGCTCTTCTTGAAGCGATCAGAGGAAGTGCTCACAATTCGGGTGGTAGGATTTTTGCCCGCCTCTCTCAAAACCGCGCAAGAAAGCGACTCGGAAGCCAGCAAGGCCGCCTTGCAGTTCCAGGACTTCAACTCCAGCCGGTGAATTGGCACCATCATGTCTCCTGAAGGTGGCAGGGCACCCTCCCTGCTTTGCCTGATTGTCGTAGCGGCCGGTAAGGAAGCGGGAAGTGCAGTTTGTTAAAAGAAAAGTTTACCACCGAAGCTGCTCGCCCGCAGAGCCTTGTATTTAACCAATAGCAAGTGGCCTGTATTCGCACTATTCGCTTATGCTTAACTTATTCGTTGCTTTGCTTCAACCAGTTTAATGTATTTTCACAACCCGGCGACGAGCCATAAATTAACCGGCTGGATTAGTTAGTGTATAACAGCTGTGCTTAATTTGTTAATTTGTGGTTCAGACCGTCATGTAAACGCAGCTAGGGTGTCAGTGTTAAATTGCAGCCTATTGGTAAGATCAGAGGCACCAATTCAGGCCAGGTCGGGATATAAATAGAGTTGATCAAAAGCTGGACGTGAGTCAGCAGTTCGATGCAGGCGAAAAAAAAAAGAAAAGCTAATACTTGGTTTGAATTAAGACGATCTTATTCTCGAAGTCATTTGAAATAATAGCTCCTACCGCACCGAGTGGGTGCATCGCAGTGAGAGAAGGTTGTACAAATAAGTAAAAAGAGTTCAGAAGAAAGTGTGAAGATGATCAGCCCCTAGATCAAAGCCTGTAAGGTGGAACTGAAATGGGCACGATCTGAGGAGAGAGGAAGTAGAAAGATGAGGCTGGATGGCAGATACTCTGCCAATATCCGAAGCCCCTTGAGCAGGTTCGGGCAAAAGAAGGCAAGGTTGTTAGAGCGCTGGGGGTGGGGGGTGGCGGTGTCACTAAAGCGGTAGCAACTGTTCAACGAAGCCGCCACTGGAGATGGATCTCTCTGCCCCCCCCCTTCCCCCTTTCTCGATAAAACAGCCATCTGTTGGACAAGTTGTATTTCTGGAATTCTTACATTAAAAGAGTACTGTAGCCTTGATGGCCTCAAAAATTCTCATCCATTCTCTGACAACATAACTTAAATGGTTTTTTTGAAGCTGCTAGCCAGCATGGGTCATCTGAAGATCCTTTCAGTTGATTTGTTGTGTAAAAAAAGAAAAAGAAAGTACTCCCCCCCTCTTTTCATTTTAAAGCCTACAAATTACAGATTTTTCAAGTGCACTGTTTGAGATCTGTCCTTCAAAATGAGTTATGGTCCTAAGTATCAGAGATAGTGGTATGAGGCATTGAAATAGTTGGCTAGAAATGCCAAGCAAATAGAATATGCTTTCCTAATGGAAATGCTAGAACTGAAAAGATAATGTCAAAAGAATATGCTACTTCAAGTTCTCTTAAAAAGAGAGTGTGTGATGGGAGGGAGGGGGCAGAGCATTGTGGGCAAAGCTCTTCAAAGAAACAACACGGGGAAATCAGAAGGTGGAAGAGATAACGTTGGAGAAACCAAAACTTAAAACATTCCAAACTACTTTCATAATGAGAAAGGCAAGTAGTGTAGTAAAGAGCAGGAGATCTTGATGATGGCTTGAAGAATAAGTACAAGGATTCGATTTGGTCTCCATTTAAGTTAAATTGTTGCTGAGAATTGGCTCTGTCTAATATATTTGGCTTTGTCAAATAGGTGTGTTATTGCAGGCATATATTTTAATCTATTCTTTATAAATCCAAATTAGTTTGCAGCAATTTAGAAGTTTTATATCATAATAAAACAATGCATTTTAGCAATCATCATATGTATAGTCCAACATTGTAGTTGTAAAAAATATTGTGTAAACTTCTGAATATGTTTGTGAAAATGTACTGATGAGTCCATTTTACTGTGGTATAGCAGTTCTGTTACTTATATTTCCATTAGCATTTTCTGCAATAAATACACACTGATGTGTACATACAGCTAGTTCTCAACTGGGACCGGAACTTCTGTTGCTAAGGAAATGATCATTAACGGAATCAGATCTAATTTTACAGCTTTTTTTTTCTAGGGTTGCTAAGCAAATCACATGGTTGTTAAGTGAATTTGGCTTCCCCGTTGATTTGCTTGTTGGAAGCCCCTTGGGAAGGTCACAAAGAACAATCACATGCCTGCGAGGCACTGCAGCCCATCACAAATACATGCTAGTTGACAAGTGCCTGAATTTTGATTATATGACTATAGGGAACTGCAGTGGATTTTAAGACACTCTGATGGTCATAAAGGCAAGGATTGGTTGTAAGTCACTTTTTTCATCACTATAATAACTGCAAACAGTTGTTAAATGAATGGTTCTAAGTAGACAACTACCTGCATATGAAACACTCCTTTCTTCTACTTGCCACATTCCACATATATTCCTACAATTTGGAGAATTGAAGAGCAAGATAACTAGAGAAAGCTGTTTCAGTGGCTAATGAGCAACTAGTCAGGTTGACATGCGTGGAATTGTACATATCAGAAGTAGAAAAGGTCTCCCCATCCAATAGCTACCAAGTGTGCCTGGAGAGATCACATCTATGATGGCACAGCGTTGTTTTGGGTGAGCATTAATCACCTATGTAATTGCTTAAGGTTTTTTTAATTGGGTTGAAGATGTACTAGGGACATGAGTCTCTAGATTTAGGCAACCATCAGTCTTCACCACTTGATTGTGCTTGAACAACATAGCCTACCTTTCCTTGCTTTTTAGTGGATTTGCATAATTTGAGTTTTGTTTATCATGAACAAGCAAAGGAGCTGTCCTTTATTTTTTTAAAGTGTTTTTTTAAAGGCAAATAACAATTAAGAATTCCAAAGTGTTCAGTTACTTTTGCTATCTCATACTGTTAATAAACAGTAATGAAGTGGGGAAGAGAACTACAAGAAACATAAAGAAAGTACATAAGGTTTTCATTTGGAGATTCCAATTGGTTGTTAAGCAAAGCAAGCACTAAGTAAAACTGCAACCATGCTTATGATCTTATTTCAGCTTTCCTTCACTTTTATAGACATACTAAAGTTGTAAATGTGACTATTGGCTGTAAAGTTACTTTTTCATCGTCATTGTAACGGCCAACAATTGCTAATCAAGGCAGTTGTAAAATGAGGTTTATATAACCTGTGTATGGAAATTACCCAGAATGAACCCCCATAATTGATGTGACTTTGACATGGAAACAGAAATTTCCTCAGATGCTTGAGCATTGCCAGTGGAATCATTCTTTTATTGGATGTTTCATACAATTAACAGTCAATATACAAAATGATTGCTATTAGTGTCACCGTAATGGATTAAAGCACCTAATATTATGAAAGTGTTTCCTTTCCCCTCAAGAATTCATGGATTGTCAATGTGCCTTACTTAAAATATCCAGTAAATATTTGAAAATTGCTAATATTATAGCAGTGAATCAAAATATTCATCTGAGTACTAAAAGGATTATTAGTTTTCTTGAAGCCAAGAATTGACATTATTTAATTCATGGCAGGTGCTTGTGTAGCATGTACCCTGTTTCCCTCAAAATAAGACATCCTCTGATAATAAGCCCAATCGAGCTTTTGAGTGCATGGCAATAAGATCAAGTGCTTATTTCAGGGTTCAAAAAAATATAAGACAGGGACTTATTTTCAGGGAAACACGGTACTATGCATGGCATGCCTATAATTCTCTAACCTTTTAGTCAGTTGACCTATTATAGGGCTGTAAAACTCACAGACAGTGGGCCAGATGCATGACGTGCTGGCGAAGCTCACACCCAATTTAGTGAAGGGGGGAAAAGTCCCAATACATCATGTGACGCTGCTGTGACGACGTGAGTTTGACACCCCTGACCTATTCTATAACGTCATTATCGGATGTTCAGTTTATTTTAATAAAATTGTTAGGGGGCTTGCAGATTTTTATTAGAGCAACAGTTCAAGGAAATTATTTGTTTTAATAATTGTTTTCCTCTCTATATTTTCCTGGTTTCAATTGTCCTAATTGTGAGCTTAGTTAGCGTATTGGGTTAGTTAGTTTTTGGGGTTGTTGTTGGTTTTTTTGCTATATTATGCCAATGTTGTTTTATTACCTAGGATTTATTTTGTATTTATTTATTTATATTTGAATTTATATACTGCCCTTCTCCCGCTAGGGACTCAGGGTGGTGAACAGCCGAAATTAAAATACATACAATATAAAAGTTAAGATAGCTAAAATAAATTAAATCAATCGGCCCCCAATTTAAAACCCCAAAGCTATACAATTAAAAACTAACCCATAAAAAACCTAATTAGGCTAGGCCAGCTTGCTGAAATAAAAATGTCTTCAGGGCCTTACGGAAAGTGCGGAGATACGGAATCAGTCGTATTCCGGGAGGAAGCTCATTCCAGAGGGCGGGTGCCCCCACAGAGTATTCCACCCTGTAAGGGAAAGATGGAGAGAAGAACCATTTTGCCATTAAGATGATTGTTGCCTCAGATGACAGTTGGCAAGAAACTGTTGCATTAGAAAGCTGGGCACATGTATCCTGCCCTGCTGCCTTTCCATCTGTTTGCTTAGCTGGCTTTTACAGATGGATTCAAAAGGGCTTTTTCTGTGCTTCAGACTCAGTCCAGGATTAGGAGAAAGGCAGGGGTGAGTTTCACAACCCGTTGCTACTGGTTTGCTCATGGGCGCGCACGACACTTCTACACATGCACAGAAGCATCCAGGCGGGTAGGCAGAGCCTGCCGCCGCCGCTACCAGTTTGCCTGATCCGGTGCAAACCAGTAGCAACCACCACTGGAGAAAGGAAAGGACACCAAGGTTAAGCATCCATTCCCCTTTTTCATCCTTGCTGCTTCCAAAACAGAGATCTTTTCAATACCTTAGCGTTGAAATAAGATTAGAAAATATAACTGAAAACTTTACACCAAATATGATTTTGCATTAAACAAAGAAAAGCTAGGCAAGATAGAACTAACTGAAAAATAAACTTCAAATGGTCAGAAGCAGAAGAATAATGTATTGATTTATGAACGGTGAACTAACCAAAGCAGTCTGTGATTGGGCTCCATTAATGATGTTTATTGAAATCTTTAGGACAGATATCTAATCTACTTGTACATCTCCAAATCACAAGTTTAGCAATTTTTCACAGCAGTTTCCCACCATGACAGTATCCTTCCAGTATTTATGCTAA